AACTTGTCAAGATCTTCCTCTTTCACAAGTGTTAGAAAATACATAGCTAGTTTCACAAGTGATTCCAAGCTTCTTTTACTTGGAAGAGCTTCTGTGGGATCCAGCACACACAACGTAGCAACAATGCTATCCTTTTCAAAGTGGAATCTCTTCTTCATCTGTACTCATATTTGTACAAGCAACTGCCGACAGTGGAAACGAAATAACTGTTCTTTTTCCTGAAGAGGTTCAGTCACCAGCAGTCCCTCACAGAAGGCCTTGGTCAGATGAGAAAAGCTCCAGTGGCTGCTCATCATATGACTCAGACCTGTGTCAGGAAACACTTGTCCTGTTTCCTGACAAAGCTTACCTAACATAACCTCACCTCATGTCTTCTGCCAAGACCGAGATCTTCCAGACTAGTAAAAACCTGCTTCCCATGAATCAATGGCAGCTAGATGTTGTGAATGGATTACATCTTGTATAATCAGACCAAGGATACTATAATACTCATCAGAAATTGTCTGTACAAAGTATTAAGTCATGAGTGTTGAGACTGAAATCTGATGTCCATCATGTCAACCTTACCCAGCGAATTAAAAAATAACAGCATGTATTTTGTTCCATGTGTCATCATTATGTATTTGTATAGCATCATCAATTATGTTCGTCCTTGCATCGCTTTAAAAATATGGCTATAGAGCGTCCCATTGCTCCAAAAATTTTGACATTACCTCTAGAGTGCCATCTAGTTTGTAACAGCCTGACCATCTTGTGACAAGGATTGTGTCACTGTCTGGATCAACTGGAACTCATGATTCTGTTTGTTATTACATGAGAAAACAGCAGCATATTTCCTCCAGAAATGAATCCTGCCACGAGGGTAAATAGCTAATGGCATATCTGGAGCACATGAGCGGCATATACAGCCTAAGACAAATTCATTTGGAAAATTCTTCTTGAAAAGTGCCTGGAAACCACCTTTTGATTCCAATATGGTAAGGCACTTGTTATGCTGTCCACAGGAATTTCTCTAGCTGTAAATACCTCTTACCTCTATAAGTTCACATTGTGAACTTCTACAGCATCTAGCAGCACTTCTTATTTTTGACCTTTCTTTGTCAGAAAATCTCATTGTAAGCACCACTTCTTGGGAAACTGGCACGTCAGTATTTACAGAAAGGAGGCTATAGTTTCCTTTTATAAAATACTTCTGGCAATATCTCTGTCTGGGAAAAAGTTTCTTAAAAACATTTACCATTTACCATGGAAGAATGACATGTGCTCTGCCATGACAAATGAGAGGATTCATTTTCCTTTTGCAAACACATCATGCTGAGCTAATCCTGATACTTTTTTTTTAAATGCTGTTGGACACTATGTTCTTGGCATTTACATTTCTTGCATGCTTTAAGGAAGCTTTATGTGCCATAATATTACAATTCTTTGACTTACAATCACATAAGGTGCACAACACTGCATATTTGTCTAATGAATCAGGCTTCAACCAGTCTTGTAATTTTGGGTCATCTATCCATTCTGCCTCACAAGCTAGATGATACCATACTTTGGGTATTTTCTTTAGTGGCGTACTGGTACCACTAAATCCTGCATCTCCTGAGTCACTCATTTTAATATCACTTAAGGATATACAATAATTAGTATTGTTGTGATTAAGAAATTTTATAAAAACTTCAGTGTGGTCTGTTACAATTTTTCTTCTTAGGCAACAAGATATTGGATTAGAGTTAGTTTAAGGTATTTTAGAGTCTAGGGGAAATAATTTCCACTGAGAAACTCCATAGAATAATATTCAAATTTATTAAAGTATTTGAATACAATACTTTATCTTCTCTTTGTACATAATATTATATCTTAATACTTTATGTACAATAAATTTACAAGAATATATATATATTTAGTTCAAATTCATGGAAATATCACACTAAGAAGTAAGATTAATTTTTTCTTCCTGCAATTAAGTCTTCACTAATATCTACGTCTTTGCCTTAACAAGACTGTCTAAACTCAAACTACAAAATGTACAAGATTCAACAAGACCTTTGAATCCAGCCGTAAAGGAGGCAGAAAGCAAGAGTTTGTCTGAGAAGACGTATCTCTAAGGATTGCTGAACTGACCAAGAATATAAATATCAAAATCTTCAGAGCAATGAGGAACAAACTACGAGTCAGCTCTAAAGCCTAATTCTCAAACCCATTCAAACTGTATACACCTAAGAGAGAACCAATGCATATACAATCAGTAGTCAAGGCTAGAATAGGGAGTGGACTGACTCCCTGCCAGTCTGTTGACCCGCCATCAGGTTGGATCACGTGACCCAAACGTCAGTAAGCCGGACATAAACAAGTGAACAATTTACCTGATGGTTCCGAGACTTTTGTATGTTCTATATACATATAAGAAATCCTACCTAACAATAATAATAATAGCTAAAAATCATCAATATCGATAATAATAATAGTGATAATACCATGGTATATTTTATATACTGACAGAGAATAATATAATGCAGAAAGTCTCTATTTTAGCTATAAACGGGGACTTTCGCCCTATAATATTAAGTGATAATCATATTCTCTTACAACAGTTAAATATTACAGGATGACCTATCTCCAAGATACAACAAGTATAATAACCTCAGTGCGTGTGTATACTTCCAGAGTCACTAACTCACGGAACTTCTGAAAAGATTGACTGACTACTGACAAGTACTGGACACAACTAGTGCCTGTCTAATACATGTCATTTGCTACTGGTTCAAGAATACAGTACTTGATTTATTTTTTCCTCAGAATGCATCAAAACTCCCATGACTGCCTGTGTTTTTTACATTTTACCAACAAGATCCCAAGCTGAATCCCCAAATCCCAATATCTTGGGAAAAGTTCCAAAGAGTAGCATCACAGGTTATTAGAGAGGACTGCGTGTCTCTTTTCATTGGTGTCAGATCTGGGCAAGTTTATGTTATGGGCTTGTTGTCTGCAATTCTTGACGAAATGTCAAGAGTAGTGCAGTTTGATGAAGACTTGTTTTCAAGAAATTCGCTTCTGCAGATGCAGAGGGCTCTTAGGAAAAACCTATGAGAACTCCATGTTCAACCTTAGTGCTGTGGTAAGTGGAAGTGGAACAGGTGCCATGGTGTGAGTGGAAGTGAAGGTGCCATGGTGTGAGTGGAAGTGAAGATGATAGATAGTCTTGATGTGTTGTAATATTTGCGGAGGAAAGAAAATGTATCGCTGATTTCCGCAAATGTGAACTGTGCGAAAAATTCAACCTGGGTTTTATATTTTTGAAGACGGAGATGTCAAATCTTCTTGGTGTAATGATGATTATGCCATCTACATAAGAAAGCCAACTGACGAAAGATGGAGGGAAAACACTGAGCTTTAAGATGTTCCATATAGAGATTTGCTAGGACTGCACTTAACGGTGAACTGCATAGGTAAGCTGGAGGTCTTGGAAGGAGAAACAATTAACCCCTAAATTGTCCGAGCAGATCTACGTTCACATGCGTAGTGCTCCAAAAGTAGATCTATGTTTTTTTTACATATTTTCAAATACGTATAACAAAAAAAAAAAAGGTAGATCAAAGTTTTTTTACATGTTTTCAAATGTAAAAAAAAAAAAGATTACTTTTTTTATATACTTTCAAACGTTGAAAAAATGTAGATCTACGTTTGGACAGTTTAAGGGTCAAAACCGACACATAGTTCAAGGAAACCTACAAAGTCATGGGCAGGAAATGTTAAATCAATATTGTCATAAATTTTCTGGTGTAGGAGATTACTGACTTGTGAAGAGCGAGGTCACGTCCAGGCTGGAGATGGAGTTTCTTGTTCCTTGTGATGCTGTTGCAGATGCAGTTAAGGAAGTCTCCTGAATGTTTCAGATGTGTAGAACTGATGGTGTCCAAAAGTTTAGACAGATAATTAAACAGAATGTTTACTAGCTTGAGAGGGCATCACATATTCTGGAGGAGACTGGTCTCAGTGGGATCTCTAGTTCATGGGTCTTTAGCAGACTGGTTTCAATGGGATCTTGAGTTTGTGCCTTGTGGAAACAAGCCTTAGTGAGGATGTTTACATTTGTAAGTGTGAGATTCATAGGTGTCAGTCGCCGAGTAGGTCGAGTATTTTCGACTAATAGTCAGTGGTGTTCATAATGACAATATTACCGTTCTTGGCAGTGTGACAATGATGTTAAGAGTCTTCAGTCAAAATTTTAAAAGCAGTGATGTACTGGCAAGAAATAACAGGGAAAACTAGGTGTGGAGAGGACCGAGGTGATGATAATCTTGAAGATAACCATTCAGGAAATCAGTGTTGCTGTAGTTTTTGGTGATGTAGTAGTTGGGGTCTTGTAATTTAATTATGAATGTTGCGAACTAAAGGCTTGGGATGAGGTTTTGGTTTCAGAGTTGGATAGGAAGCACATAAAAAATTTGCATGTCTGATCTATCCAATTGTTTGACTGGTGTTTTCACAGAGGTGGAACCTGAGGGTGAATCTGAGGATTTTGCTGAATGTTTCCATGCTGATTCTATTACGTCTTATTTCTACAGAATATCTGGTCATGTTGCCTCGGGGTGTGATATCTAAAATTGTAGCCTTACCAGGGTTTATCTGTTTATGACTTAAAGTCCACTCCGTTTGAAGGTGAAACATCTCCAGTAAAGGTTCCATACAACTTTGTCTGACTCTCTGCCAGTGTGACGGTATCTCATACCAAAACACACAGAATTTTCTTCAGATTTGACTGTTGCTTCTCGATCATTTCATTGTTAGACATATGACGACTGTTTTTGTAATTGGTTTATTTATTGTTAGATATACGTACGTTATTTTAATAGGTTTATCCACCCTAACCTAACCTAACTTAAAGCGGAATTTGAAAAACAGAAGCATTTAGAAACAGATAGAATAACACATCCAAAAAAGAGGAGTAGGTGAGGCAGGTGCCGGCGACAAGTGCAGCAGTGGCAGAGAGATGAGGTACTTACAGCGTTGCAAGTATTGATGTCAGTGTTGGTCTTGAGGAACTCGAGCACCTTCTCCAAGTTTCCTGCCCTCGCCGCCCTCAGGAAGCTGGCGCTCCCATCAGTCTGTCAGAAACAAAAAATACAAGTTACATAACCACAATTAACACCAATTAAAAAAAAGTTCTCTTTAAAAATGTAACTCAAAAAAAATTTAAAGACAATACAAATGATATAAATATACAGTGGAACCTCAAATATCAAACTTAATCCGTTCCAGGAGCTAGTTCTAAATTCAAAAAGCCTGAAAAGCGAAGCAATATTTCCCATAAGAAATAATGGAAATACAATTAATCCGTTCCAGAAGCCCAAAAATATTCACAAAAAAAAAATACATTTTATAGAGATTAATTATAGTTTTACATACACACAACAAATATAGTGTTCAATTATGTATTAATAAATTTAAATAAACATATAAAATAACATTTTTACTTACCTTTATTGAAGATTGGTGATGGCATCTGGAAGACAGGGAGGAGGAGAGAGGGAGTTGGGGTTAGTATTTGGAAGGGGAATTCCCATCCATAAGGACTTTAGGTATCAAAGTCCTCTCTGGGGTTACTTCCCTTCTCTGTCTTTTAATGCCACTAGGACCAGCTTGAGAGTCACTGGACCCCTGTCTCACAAAATAACTGTCCACAGTCCTCTGTTTCTGGCACCTCTGTATTATTTCCTTCTTCAAATCTATCGTGTTTCTCACTTTCTTTACCACAGGGGTACCACTAGCAAGTTTCTTCAGGCCCATGGTATCTTATTTCACAGTCCCACAAGCACTAAACACATTGAAATAATCATAAAATGTTTGAGTGAGAGTGCAGGTTAGTGTTCACTCAAGCATCAACAAAACCAGACTGGCTCACGGCGCCTGCGCGGGGACGCGGACAGAGTGGGCTGGCGGACAGAGTGGGCTGGCGGACAGGTCTGGTACCCGACGGTTTGAAAATAGGGGCAAGTTCGATAATAGGCACAAAGTTGGTTCGAAAAAAGCGGTCGATTTTCAAAGAGTTCGATAAGTGATACATTCAAAATTTGAGGTTCCACTGTACACATCATCTAAATATACACAAAATGCTAGAACAGTGGAACTGGTTACAAGAGGAAGTAGTAAACTATGGTAAGGGCAAGGATTGAACTCGCGGCTATTGAGTCATAAAACTAGCCGCGAGTTCAATCCCTGACCGTAGCATGGCTTGTTTCCAATCGTGTCATTACAATTTTGTGAGGCGGGAAGTAGCAAGTACTAAAAACACTAGAAATTAAAAAAATAATAATAAATATTGACGAGGGAATACTGTGAGCTCAGCTCATCTTCTCTAGCTTGAAAGAATTTAAAATATGTAATTATAAGGTCGTTCATTAGACGAGCCAGACTGCAGCGCAACACTATCCAGAACAAGGTCACCCAGGGTCACCACTATCCTACTGAGGATCAATGTTTCTTTCCTCAATAGGTGCTGCTGTCTGTCCTAGTAAGTGCTGCTGTCTGTCCCAGTAGGTGCTACTGTCCATCCTAGTAGGTGCTTGTTGTCTGTCTCAGTAGGTGCTGCTGTCTGTCCTAGTAGGTGCTGCTGTCTGCCCCACTAGGTGCTGCTCTGTCCTAGTAGGTGCTGCTGACTGTTCTAGTAGGTGCTGCTGTCTGTCCTAGAAGGTGCTGCTGTCTGTCCCAGTAGATGCTGCTGTCTGTCCTAGTAGGTGCTGCTGTCTGTCCCAGTAGGTGCTGCTGTCTGTCCTAGAAGGTGCTGCTGTCTGTCCAAGTAGATGCTGTTGTCTGTCCCAGTAGGTGTTGCTGTCTGTCCCAGTAGGTGCTCCTGTCTGCCTTAGTAGGTGCTGCTGTCTCTCCCAGAAGGTGCTGCTGCTTGTCCCAGTAGGTGCTGCTGTCCTAGAAAATGCTGCTGTCTGTCCTAGTAGGTGCTGCTGTCTGTCTTTGTAGGTGCTGCTGTCTGTCCCAGTAGGTGCTCCTGTCTATCCTAGTAGGTGCTGCTGTCTGTCCTAGTAGGTTCTCCTGTCTATCCTAGTAGGTGGTGCTATCTGTCCCAGTAGGTGCTGCTGTCTGTCCTAGTAGGTGCTGCTGTCCCAGTAGGCGCTGCTGTCTGTCCCAGTAGGTGCTGCTGTCTGTCCCAGAAGGTGCTGCTGTCTGTCTCAGTAGGTGCTTGCTGTCTGTCCCAGTAGGTGCTGCTGTCTGTTCCAGTAGGTGCTGCTGTCTTTCACAGTAAGTGCTGCTGTCTGTCCTAGTAGGAGCTGCTGTCTGTCCCACTAGGTGCTGCTGTCTGTCCTAGTAGGTGTTGCTGTCTGTCCCAGTAGGTGCTGCTGTCTGTCCCAGTAGGTGCTGCTGCCTGTCCCAGTAGGTGCTGCTGTCTGTCCTAGTAGGTGCTGCTGTCTGTCCCAGTAGGTGCTGCTGCTTGTCCCAGTAGGTGCTGCTGTCTGTCCTAGTAGGTGCTGCTGTCTGTCCCAGTAGGTGCTGCTGTCTGTCCCAGTAGGTGCTCCTGTCTATCCTAGTAGGTGCTGCTGTCTGTCCTAGTAGGTTCTCCTGTCTATCCTAGTAGGTGGTGCTATCTGTCCCAGTAGGTGCTGCTGTCTGTCCTAGTAGGTGCTGCTGTCTGTCCCAGTAGGCGCTGCTGTCTGTCCCAGTAGGTGCTGCTGTCTGTCCCAGTAGGTGCTGCTGTCTGTCCCAGTAGGTGCTTGCTGTCTGTCCCAGTAGGTGCTGCTGTCTGTTCCAGTAGGTGCTGCTGTCTGTTCCAGTAGGTGCTGCTGTCTTTCACAGTAAGTGCTGTTGTCTGTCCTAGTAGGAGCTGCTGTCTGTCCAACTAGGTGCTGCTGTCTGTCCTAGTAGGTGTTGCTGTCTGTCCCAGTAGGTGCTGCTGTCTGTCCCAGTAGGTGCTGCTGCCTGTCCCAGTAGGTGCTGCTGTCTGTCCTACTAGGTGCTGCTGTCTGTCCCAGTAGGTGCTGCTGCCTGTCCCAGTAGGTGCTGCTGCCTGTCCCAGTAGGTGCTCCTGTCTGTCCTAGTAGGTGCTGCTGTCTGTCCCAGTAGGTGCTGCTGTCTGTCCCAGTAGGTGCTGCTGTCTGTCCCAGTAGGTGCTGCTGTCTGTCCTAGTAGGTGCTGCTGTCTGTCCCAGAAGGAGCTGCTGTCTCTTCTAGTAGGTGCTGCTGTCTGTCCCAGTAGGTGCTGCTGTCCTAGTAGGTGCTGCTGTCTGTCCCAGTAGGTGCTGCTGTCTGTCCTAGTAGGTGCTGCTGTCTGTCCCAGTAGGTGCTGCTGTCTGTCCCAGTAGGTGCTGCTGTCTGTCCTAGTAGGTGCTGCTGTCCCAGTAGGTGCTGCTGTCTGTCCAATAGGTGCTGCTGTCTGTCCCAGTAGGTGCTGCTGTCTGTCCCAGTTTTTGCTGCTGTCTGTCCCAGTAGGTGCTTGCTGTCTGTCCCATTAGGTGCTGCTGTCTGTCCCAGTAGGTGTTCCTGACTGTCCTAGTACGTGCTGCTGTTCCCAGTAGGTGCTCCTGTCTGTCCCAGTAGGTGCTGCTGTCTGTCCTAGTAGGTGCTTGCTGTCTGTCCCAGTAGGTGCTGCTTTCTATCCTAGTAGGTGCTGCTGTCTGTCCTAGTAGGTTCTCCTGTCTATCCTAGTAGGTGCTGTTGTCTGTCACAGTAGGTTTTGCTGTCTGTCCCAGTAGGTGCTGCTGTCTCTCCCAGTGGGTGCTTGCTGTTAGTCCCAGTAGGTGCTGCTGTCTGTCCCAGTAGGTGTTCCTGTCTGTCCCAGTAGGTGCTGCTGTCTGTCCCAGTAGGTGCTGCTGTCTGTCCTAGTAGGTGCTTGCTGTCTGTCCCAGTAGGTGCTGCTGTCTATCCTAGTAGGTGCTGCTGTCTGTCCTAGTAGGTTCTCCTGTCTATCCTAGTAGGTGCTGCTGTCTGTCCTAGTAAGTGCTGCTGTTCTAGAAGGTGCTGCTGTCTGTTCTAGTAGGTACTGCTATCTGTCCTAGTAGGTGCTGCTGTCTGTCACAGTAGGTTTTGCTGTCTGTCCCAATTTTTGCTGCTGTCTGTCCCAGTAGGTGCTTGCTGTCTGTCCCAGTAGGTGCTGCTGTCTGTCCCAGTAGGTGTTCCTGTCTGTCCTAGTACGTGCTGCTGTCTGCCCCAGTAGGTGCCCTGTCTGTCCAGTAGGGGGCTGCTTTGTCTGTCAAAGTAGGTGCTTGCTGTCTGTCCCAGTAGGTGCTGCTTTCTATCCTAGTAGGTGCTGCTGTCTGTCCTAGTAGGTTCTCCTGTCTATCCTAGTAGGTGCTGCTGTCTGTCACAGTAGGTTTGCTGTCTGTCCCAGTAGGTGCTGCTGTCTGTCCCAGTAGGTGCTTGCTGTCTGTCCCAGTAGGTGCTTTTTTGTCTGTCCAGTAGGTGTTCTTTTCTGTCCTAGTAGTCCCTTGCTGTCGTCCAGTAGGTGCTGCTGTTTGCCCCGTAGGTGCTTCTGTCTGTCCCAGTAGGTGCTGCTGTCTATCCTAGTAGGTGCTGCTGTCTGTCCTAGTAGGTTCTCCTATCTATCCTATTAGGTGCTGCTGTCTGTCCCAGATGGAGCTGCTGTCTCTTCAGAAAGTGCTGCTGTTGTCCTGGTCTCTTCCTAGGTAGGTGCTGTTGTCTCTCCAGTAGGTGCTGCTGTCTGTCCTAGTAGGTGCTGTGTCCCGTAGGTGTTCCTGTCTGCCCTAGTACGTGCTGCGCCCCTGCCCATAGGTGCTCTTGTCTGCCCGTAGGTGCTGGTTGTCTTAGTAGGTGCTGCTGTCTGTCCTAGTAGGTGCTGCTGTCTGTCCCAGTAGGTGTTGGTTGTCTGTCTTAGAAGGTGCTGTTGTCCTAGTAGGTGCGCTGTTTGTCCAGTAGGTGCTTGTTGTCTGTCCTAGTAGGTGCTGCTGTCTGTCCTAGAAGGTGCTGCTGTCTGTCCCAGTAGGTGTTGCTGTCTGTCCTAGTAGGTGCTGCTTTCTGTCTCAGTAGGTGCTGCTATCTGTCCTAGTAAGTGCTGCTGTCTGTCCTAGTAGGTGCTACTGTCCCAGTAGGTGCTGCTGTCTGTCCTAGTAGGTGCTGCTGTTTGCCCCAGTAGGTGCTGCTGT